CGTACATAAGATCTAGCGGCTTTAAATAGGAATAAATTATATGCATCAGCATTTCTGGAATAAGATGATGCGACAGGAATGCTGATGTTACATTATATGTTATATTAGATATGTCTTTATACTAAAAAATAAAAATAGACGTTATACAGGGTCCTTATATTACAAGTGGCGTAGTTATTGGGGGAGTAGAACCACTGGTTTTTTAAAATGTACAATCAATTTGTGGCAATAAAGTATCCGTAAAATTTACTGGTCTTTAGATAATTGGGAAATCGAATAAGAAGATACTTAAGTACCTACTACGTTATTGCTTATCATTTTCTATTGATTGCTAAATGTATAACAATAAATTCAATACCTTGAGATTTCAAACTATACAACGCCACTGTTTTGTGTGTTGCAAAAAGTTTGTTATTTTTCATACACCTAAAAAAAGATTTTAATAAAAAAAATGGTATTCAATAATTCAATTCATTTCAACTGTAAAATACCAGTACCGTAGGTGGCACGTTGTTGCTAGGAAAACAGTAATAAAATTTCTTGTGATGATTGTATAGTGTTTTGAAATCTCTCAAAAATATTAGGTATTGCATTTATTGTTACACATTTAGCGATCAATAGAAAATAGTAAATAGCAATGTATAAAGTATCTTATTTGATTTCCCAATTATCTAAAGGCCAGTAAATTTTACGAATACTTTACAATAATACTTTATTGCCACAAATTGATTGCATATTTTAAAAATATTTAAAATTATTTAAAAAACCAGTGCCGTACGATTTTTTTTTTTCAAAAAATGTCACCTACTCCCAATAACTACGCCACTGGAGTGTATTTTGTAATAAATTATCCATGAAAAAATAGTCCCTACTAAAAAAATGTCATCCCCAAATTTTATAACTCAATTTTTTATGCCAGTGTAGTTTCAGGAAAAATAATATAAATATTTGAAACTTATAACACCCTGTATCACCGTAGGAAAGCGTCCTATCAAAAATTTTTATAGGGCAAAACTTGATTATTTTCATCGGTAGAATACGTCATTAAAGTTTGACAAAACTTATCATTAACACCCTGTAGATGCGCCGACTAAAGAGGGGTTGAGGTGCGAGCTCCCTCTCTCGGATAATTTTGGGGAGCCAGTCCTCTCTGATTCTTGACGCACATGCCAAAAATACTTGTTAGATGTATTTATACAGAGAGAAAAAGTATTTTTTTAAATAAAATAATTACGAATCATTGATACAAAACGAAAAAACACAGGGTGATCTGAAATTCCATTAGGGAATTCCAGGAGGTGAATTTACGGATTAAAATAATACCAATATGTAAAAAAAAATTTGTTTGAATTGTCAATTAATTGTTTGCAAGTTACAGCTAGTCAAAGTTCATTTTTTATTTTTCTTTTTAAATAAATTTAATTCATGTTTGATTAATCTCTCATATGGCACACTCACTAAGTAGATGAAGCTCTAGTGGACCAATCACAGGAAAGTTTCATTATGCGCCGCTAGAGGGCACTTTACCTAGATCTCAAAATTTATTTTGTTCATAATTTTTTTCTCTTGCTAGACAACACAGAAATTTAATAATAATTACTGAAAAGAGATGTTAACAATATCAGAAAAAATTATTATGTACCCTTTATTCAAGCCGATAAATGAAATGAACCGTTTAGCAGGAAATCGTTATTTAAAGTTTTACAAGTATTAAATATCAAATTTTTGAAAATTGTTTCTGTAATTAATCAAGTTGCCATGCTGTAATACCATATCTTGTAAAACCAGCTTCGTTAGTAAATAAAATATTATTAGTAAATTCATTTATTCTTATCTTATTTTTCCACAATGCTATTACAGAACCGAAAAAAAAAATATTATGGTGGAAAATAATATTTATCCATGCATGCTTTAAACAATTTTCGTTACACCAAAATTACTAATAACATTTATTTGAAGCAAATTAAAGTTTGACAAGCTTTAACTTGCAAATAATTGACAATTTGAAAAGAGTTTTCATTATACTGCTTACGTCAATTCGTAAAATCACCTTCCAAGATTTTCTGACATATTTCCAGAACACCTTGTATTTGTAATAAAGAATCACAAAACAAACTCTGAACTTGAACGAAAGATAATTAACCGATTTTTGATCAAGTTACCTTAATACAATTTTGCTTCCTTAGTTGCCGTCAAAAAAATTTTTTTATTTCATTTTCTTTAGATATCACTTCTAAAGATATTTCAATGAAATGTGCCGAGGGATTTTTTGGGTAATATAATTGAATATGAATATAAGCCTAATTTTTACTTAAAATATAGAGGTCGCTAATAACACGTTAGTTTTTTTTTGGTATATTTTTTTTGTTGCTAGAAACTAGTAAAACAATGTTTTCACATTTAATCTATGGTTTTCACTTTAAAAATGGCACCCCAGTCATCACGTTAGTGATAGTCGAGTATTTAGGGGTTTAATTAAACCTATTCCTATTCAATAGTCAATCTACCAGGGGAGGATACAGAGAAAGAATTTTGGGGGGGGCATTTGTACAGTTGATATCTAAAAAGAGCTATAAAAAAAAGGTTATACAGTCAAGAAAACTGAGAAACATTTTTAATCAGTAACAAACAAGTAAAAGTATAATATTTTTGGGTATGGAGCTCTTGGGGTTTATTTTTATGGCTGGTTTTCTGTTGTTTTATTTGTACCTACTGCATCCCCAGCAGTCTAGTGGAGCATATCCCTACACATTTAACTTTACAGTACAGCCTATATCTCAGTAGACATTGATTTTTTATTGGAAGTAGGTTTGTCTATGTAAATCATAAAAAAGTACTTGTTTTAGTTTAGTAAAAAAGTCAAGTTTACTTACAATATTCCTAAATACTCCAATTTTGATGACATGCAACAAATATAAAGAGTGACCGCAAAAATCGCCCGTTTTTTCACAATTCGCAGAGAACTAAGAAAATAGATAAAAATATGTTTTTGGTCTCAAATTACTCATCGTAAAAACTTATGAGCATAGCTTTTAGTTTTTTCAAAATTTTCAAAAATCACCTCTATTTAGGGGTTGAAAAGACGCCCAAAAAATGAAGAATTGATTACCAATAAATATAAAAATATTTGCATGTGAATTTTTCTATCGAATGATTCTTGATACAAAGAAAGTATTATTCCCATGACTGAAATAAACATGTTGAATTAGAAAATCCACCCTTAAGCGCGCTCAGGGGGTGGAATCATCCCCAAAAATAGAGAATATCAGAAATAAATGTAAAAATTCAAAAAAAAAAAAATTAAGATAATTCACGTTAATAGTTTTTATATCAATTGGTAATATTCAAATTCTTCATTTTTGGCATTTTTTCAACCCCTAAGTAGGGGCGATTTTTTAAATTTTCAAAATGCTAAAAGCTATGCTCGTTTCAGTTTTTTACAACAAGTAATTTGGGACCAAAAACATATTTTTATGTATTTTTTTTATTCTCTGCGAATTGTGAAAAAAGGGGCGAAAATCAAACGTTTTTTGCAGTCACTGAAGTAAATAAAGCAACTTTTCAAAACATGTAAAAATATGGAGAAGCAACCAAAGACTTTAAAGTTTCGTAAGTTAAGCAGCCTCTATTGTATTTAAAATTATATTAAAAAAATTAAATAAAAAAATTTTTTGATGCCAACAAGTTTTTAAGGAAGCAAAAGTATAAAAAGCTAACTTGATCGGTTTATTTTCATTCGAAAAAGATACCCTTGAGGTATGGCCCAGTTGCTTCTGGATACTCTTGTTGCTATTACATCAATAATGAAAGAATATTATAAGAAATTATCACGCAGGAAACATACAGTAAAGAAACTCCTCATAAAAACCGTTTATTAGATTTTCAAAAATACATATTTACATCTATGTATCGAATAATAAATAAAACATCCTGTGAGAATGAAACAAACTAAGCATTTGTGCTGGTGCTCTTGGCCGCATAACCCTGAATTTCGTGCAAATTCGTGTTTTTAAATCCAACCACAATATCGCCTTTGATCAGGTGTTTGTAAGACTTCTTCGCTCCAGTCTTATCCAAGTGATAAAAAGGGGTGCGTGATATGAAATTAGCATATTTGAACTTAAGCTTGGTGCCTTCGGGTAACCTTTCGTGTTCTCCGTGCGGGTTTCCTACCTCACCTACCATAACGTCCTCCATGGTGATCGTTTCCAACTTCTTCTCGTTAATATCGTTCTCTATCTCCGCCTGGTATCTGTCTATAGTTTTCGAGATAGAATCCAAGTTTTCCTCCAGGTTAGTCTTATGTTTATCGAAAGCAGTATTGTCGATTCCTAGCTTCTTTTTCTTACTGTCGTAACTGAACTTATCCAAAGCGGACATGTCGAAACTGATGTTCTGTTCCTCTAGGCTGTTGTTTATTACTTGAGTGTTGATTTTGAACAGCTCGTTCCTGTTTTCTGTGTCGCTGAGATTTCGAAGGTCCTCGTTGTTCGGAATGATCCTCTCTTGCGTTACATCGCTGAAGCGTACGCTTTTCCTCCGTTTCACGCTATTTATCTTCATTACGCTGTGACTATTTTCGCCGTTCGCCTGTGGCGTTCTCGCAATGATGGGTGTAGAGACTACATTCAACATCAGGTCGTTTTCTTCGATATCCAACGATATGTTTTCTTTTATGTCCGAGGATAATACGTCTGGCAGTATACTCTTGACGTTTTCTTTGTTTCCTTTGACTTTTTTCTGCTTTCTTTGTACTTCAAAAGGAATTTTTTCAGTACTAGTTTCTATAGAGTTGTTTGCGTTAAAATTTGGATTGTCTATTGCTGAGATATAGTCTTTCTTCTTTTTCTTCTTTTTTGGTTTTATTTCGTAGGGATTTTCTTTGACCACGGCACACTCTGTTTCTTCTAACGATTCGTTAAAGTTAGGATTCTCGATAGCATAATTTTCATTTTTCTTCTTTTTCCTTTTGTTTCTTGCAACTTCGAAAGGATTTTCTTCGTTTTGAGGAAAGCTTGCATTCCCTTCGGTCATTTCAATAAAATTAACATTATCAATACCCCCTTTGGTTTTCTTCCTTTTAACTTTAACTTCGTAAGGGTTTTCTTCGGCTTCAGTTAAATCTATTGTATTTTCTAAGCTGTCGTCGAAATTAGGATTTTCCAAAGCAAAAGTTTTGTCCTTTTTCTTTGATTTTTGTTTTGACGGAATTTCTGTTATAGATGAAGTCCCAGAATCATCAGTTGTGAGGTCGATGCTGGGATTTTCTTGTTTCTTTTTCTTGGATTTTTTAGGTTTCACCTCGTACGGATTTTCTTTAATTTGTAAATTGTGTGAAAGGTCTTCTACGGGTTCTTCGAAATTTAGATTTTCGTATGTTGCTGTAGTTTCTTTAGGCTCCTCTATTGTAAGATCAATATTATTATTATTATTTTCAACTGTTCTATTTTCTTTTTTCTTTGATTTTTGTTTTAACGGAACTTCAGTTATAGATGAAACCCCAGAATTGTCAGTTGTGAGGTCGATGCTGGGATTTTCTTGTTTCTTTTTCTTTGATTTTTTAGGTTTCAACTCGTATGGGTTTTCTTTAATTTGTAAATTGTGTGAAAGGTCTTCTACGGCTTCTTCGAAATTTGGATTTTCGTATGTTGCTGTAATTTTTTTAGGCTCCTCTATTCTAAGATCAATATTATTATTATTATTTTGAACTGTTCTATTTTCTTTTTTCTTTGATTTTACCTGCTTGTTCTTTTTACTTTCTTTTCGTTTTACCTCGAAAGGCGAGATTTCAACTTCATTTTCTTTGCCAACGTTCACTGCTGTTAAATCGACAGTATCATTTTCAATAAAAACACTATTTACCACTCCATTTTCGAGCCCCTTTGATTTTGATTTTTTCTTTACTTCGATTGTTGATTCCCCTGCTTCTAAGTTGCTACAACTGCTTTCCGATAAATACTCCTTTTTTTCTTGTGTACTTGCATGGACTTGAACTGTTGTCATGCCATATTTTAAAACACTATCTTCGGGGTCCGATATATCTTCAGAGATACTTTCTTCGATGGTATCCAGGACATGTTTCTCTATCTTCACTGGTGTCTGTAAAGGATTAAAAGCTGGATTTGCAATTCCTTCTTCTTTGCATCCTTCTTTCACCGAATGTTTAGAAGGATCTTCCTTATTTTTCCGTGATTTCTTCTTCGGAGAAAACACATTATCGACGTTCTTTTCCTCAGCTTTCCGTTTCTTCTTACTCTTTTTCTCATTGCTTTCTTCGTCATAATTTCCATTTACATAGGAAACAAAAGTAGATTTGTTGTTTGTTATCTTCGACTCAGTATCGCCATTTGTATCAGATATAAATTCGCTTTTAAATCCAAAACCTGCGTAAGAAACTTCTCCATCGTCTTTCTCACCCGAATTAAAACCAAAACTAGGACTGGGGTTACTTTCCGAATCAGATTCCTCCTTTCTCAGCACCCCATTCTGTCCCACGACGTAGCCGTTAGATTTTCCAAAACCCAGCAGCTTCTTTTTGAAGTAGTCACGCATAGAACCAGCATTGAACAAAAACTTATTATCTGCATTCTTTTCTTCACTACCGTTCGGTTTTCCCTGCGTCTCTTCTATTTTCGACGATTCCTTCAAAGACTTCTTCCCAAAGATATTAGCCAGATCCTTCTCGGAATACCTGCTCAAATCCTTACCCCTAGTAAACTTGTGATAGTGCACCCTTGCCCTAGAGTTCTGCGACTTCTTCTCTAAGGAATTCAGCTTGACTTCATCGGGTTTTTCTCCTGAAAGAGACTCCAGTAGAGCACTGAAGTTGGATTCGTGTTCTGTCCACTGATCGTTGGATTCTTTATAGCCCATACCCTTGCTGTCGTTCTTGTACGACACCTTTACATGCTCTGTAATGCCATCTTCCTTTGCCCCCAGGCCCTTGCCGTGTTGCCACCCCATCTTTTCCAACATTTTCTGACCAAATTTGTTGGAATCTAGAAGCACAAAAATGGTTTTAAAAAAATTCTAACCTAACTTGAAAGCAGTTTTGAAAATATATAAAAAATAACGACAACAGGTTCAAACTACTGACTAATTGCAGTTAACATTATAATCTATTGGATATTTATTATAGATTTTTCAGTTTCTTTACCTTGGACCCAATCGTTGCCTCTAGGATTGAGGGACCACTTTTGCTTTGTTTTCCTTTCTGCTAGCATCGACATTTTAGCTACTGCTTCTTTTCAGCTTAATAAAAGTATTTTCACTTATTTGTATACACTTTGTTTTATGTTTTATTTATAAAACGGTTTTCTTCGTACTTATATAAAACGTGCATTTTGCACCTGTCATTGTTGACAGTGGAAGGAGGATCGTTGGATTACAGTTTTCTAATTAGCCGACAGCTGTCAAATTTGTTCGACTTAATTTAACTATGGATTGGTAGAGTGCAGCACTAAAAGTATGTATATATGGCTGCATAAAATACAGCAAATTCTGTGAAAATAAATTAGTAAAACACAGACTTCTAAGGTAAAACAGAAAATATGTATCTAAAATTGAGGATTAGTGTTGGATTTTTCAAGGTGGAGGTGTCTGGACGAACAACGGACACTGCAGGGAAAATTTAAAATGCGAATTTTTAAATTTACATTTTGCGAAGTGAAATATAGATGGCACAAGTGATAAAGCCAAATTTCAAAATTAATATAAGAAAACAGGATATAGGTATGGTATACCGAAAGAAAGCATAATTTAATTCGAAATAGTATTAAAATATTATGTGAAAAATTGTGTTCCTTTTAAGGAAATTAATATAATACAGTAATGGCCAATACCTCGACCACCCTAAATACCAGTGTATTATTAGTTGCCTTTAGATACTGTTTAAATGTCAGCAAAACCTAAAATTTGATATTTGATTCGATGACGTATGATTGATATTTTTCAAAAAATGAAATAAACAGATTAGGACAAGAACTCTTCAAATGACCTTCACAATTCTTTATCGTGTTTTTGTAGCAAAGAAATACCAAGATTTGCATCTTCGCCGCCACCTGACTGTCAGAAATCTCACTAAGTTTTATAATGCTTACAAAATGAATAAAATATCGTCTGTATCAGTAAGAAGATTAAACTGATGACAATGTGAGCTTCTCTAATACATTTTCACATTTTTAGCCCCTGGCTGATTTAAAATTGTGTCGGTTTGATCCAGTTTTCAAGACAAACAGCCAATATATCTGCTACAAATATGAAAGGTGTTGTACGCAAGGATGCTGTTCAACTTACGGGATTTACAACACCCAGTCTTGGTATTTCTGGTAAAAAATAATGTTTTACAATGTTCCTTAAGTTTGGAGTCCTGATTTTTAGGATAATCATTGCTATAATTCTCTTAATATTCTACTTGGGTTCTTGGTACTGCAAAAAAATGGATATGAAACCAAAAAGGAGGCTGCAAGTAGACCAGAGTGCAAACAGGAGCTCTTCTTCTAGCTCGAATTCTTCTCCAAGAGTTTCTCCTAATCGGAGGCCCAATGAGGGCAACGTAGACCATTTATTGAACTACCTCATTAGCTGTAGACTTCGTAAGTCGATAAATACAAACTTTTTTTGTCATAAATGTATACAGAGCTGCAACAAATTCTAAATTTATCCTTCAGAGAACGTTAACGAAGTTCCGCCGAGACGCAGTACAAACTCAGAACCGCCTCCGAAGTACCAGGAAGCCCTTAGTATGCCAAAACTTGTCCGTAGCAACGTTCAGATTGTGCAAATTCACGCAGATGCTAACACTTCGACAGCTCAAACTCGAAATGGGTGGAGTTGCGGTGAAATTCCACCGACTTACGAGGATGCCGTCCAAATTTCTGTTGAACCTAGAAATACGCAGGATAATGTCTAATAATAATAAAAATCATGTCATTCCGTTTCTATAAGAAATAAATTGTCGAATGAAATTATTTTAATTGCAAATTTAGTTGGCATTTGAAAGGTTACTTATGTATGTATGAATTTTTGCAAGTATTTCTGGATCAGTATAAATGATAATTATTATAAAATGTACAGGGTGGGCCAAATTCTACGCTATTGGCGGTTTCTCCTATTTCCTGAAAAGATAGGAAAAAGTAGTTTAGACATCATGGACACAATTTTCAAGAAAAACTGCACGTCGATATCTTTTTAAGTTTAAGATGTACATGGTGCTTTTCAATTTTTGTCGATGCTTATGATGTTTTATAACTTTTTTGTTTCTGATAAATTTTTGTGGTGAAGTTTTTTACACTATTTTTTTCATAGAATCCATTCACCAGTTTTTTAGCTGCAACGCAAACATATTTTTTTTAAATTGTACAGGGAGATTTCACTTTAAATACAGAATCTGCAGGACTTGATTCATTACCAAAAAATAAGTAGGGTTTCTTTTATAAATTTTTTTCCTGCGGGACTCGGTATTCGAGATACAGGGTGTTAAAGTTTACAAAAAGATATATATTTTCTGGCTATATCTTCATAATGCGCTGACGGAATTGAATGAAACTTACTACAGCGTTTCCACTTAATTAAACATTTTATTGAATGTAATATTACCCTTGTGGCTTTAACCAGTGGCGTGCTATTGGAGGTGCCGCCTCATTTTCCCAAGAAAAAATTACGGTATTGGCGGTTTTTTTCTAGAAATAATGTTACATTAAGGTACTGTTATGTTAAAAGAATGAAAAATGATTCTTGGTGTTTTTTAATAGTAGCATCTGTTTAGGAGATGTTTGGGTTTGTTTTTACGTTTTATTGAATTCTAATAAATTAATCCGTATATTTGATGAAAACCTCCTGGTTTTAACCAGTGACATGCTACTAAAGCGTCCGCCAACTTCTCCCAAGAGATGAATACACCACTGGCGGTTTTTCATAGAAGCAATTTTATTCCTGGAAAAAATATCAAACTAGATAATAAAATAACATTAGCAAATAGGTCGAGTAAGTAAGTAAGTAACGAGTCCTACAACAATTGTTCAAAACGAAGTCCTTCCACATTAATACATTTTTGACATCTTCTTATCAGGCTATTTTTAGAAGAACTTATCATGACATGATTTTTCCTGAGGAGATTATAATTTTCCTCTATTTTTTGCCACAATTCGTCTCGTGTTCGTAAGTCCAAAATGGACTGCAGCTTCAGGAATAAATAAACAATGGTACTTATAATATTAAAACGAGATCATCATAAAACCTACTAACTGGTAATGAAGACAAAAGAATCAATTTTTGCAGATGAATTATGGTCGTCAAATAAGTAAATTATCTTTGTTTATAACACTTGACGTTTCGAGAGACATATCGCTCTCTTCTTCAGAAGTTACTCTGAAACTGGAGATCTACTAGTCTTGTCACTATTTATATTTGATGTTGCTTTCACGGATGACTCTCTTCCATATACCTGGCAGATCCACGCCACTTTCCCTGTTGAAGTTGTTCGGATTTCTGTAAATTTCTAAAGGTTCTCTTATAGTCGGGGCCAAAATCTTCTCTCTCTCACCACCATGTTGGCTTCACTCAGATCCACTGTGTATCCTGTGTCCGCCCTATGCTCTGCTACTGCCGACATTTCCCAGTTGTTATTTTTGAGGAGACTTTTGTGCTCCTTTAACCTCGTGTTGATGTGCCTTCCTGTTTGTCCTATGTAGACCTTTCCGCAAGAGCAAGGAATACTGTACACACTGCCGCCATTTTCCTTACAGTTCTGAATACTGTGTTAATATTCCTCTTCTTCAAAAGACGCCCGATTTTATCTGTACAACCTTTCACGTAAGGTAGATACGTCGTCGCTAAGTACTCCTGTTTCTCAATGGGTGTATGTCTCCTCCTGTTAGCTCGTTCTATATTTCTCTCCGTGCAGCCATTCACTATCAAGGCCGTGCGTAGGTGTTCTAGTTCTTCGGCCAAGTGTCTTGGCTCGCTGATGATCCGCGCTCGATGAATCAAGGTATTTATGATCCCCTGTTTTTGGGCTGGGTGGTGGTGGGACTCTGCATTCAGATACCTGTCTGTGTGAGTAGGCTTCCTATATACTCAATGTCCTAAAGTGCCATCTGGTTTTCTTTCAACCAAAACATCCAAGAAGGGAAGAGCGGCGTTTTTTTCTATTTCCATGGTAAACTGGATATCTGGATGTATCCCATTGATGTGATCCAGGAAATTCGCTACAGTGTTGCGTCCGTGGCGCCAGATGATGAAGGTGTCTTCAACATATCAGTACCAGCATTTAGGCTTCAACGTTGTAGATTCCAGGGCTTTCTTCTCAAAGGCTTCCATATACATATTGGCCAGGACTGGAGATAACGGTGAACCCATTGCTGCTCCCTCTGTCTGTTCGTAGAATTAGTACCGGAATGCAAAGAAGGTCGATTTTATGCACACTTTTGAGAATTCCATTAGACTCGCATCTTTTTCCTCTGCGATTAGTCTTCAATGCAGTTCCTCCAAAGCTTCGTCGACAGGTACTTTCGTAAATAGGGATGCAACATCGAAGCTGATTAGGATATCTCCTGGTTGGAGTTCAATTCCTCGAATTTTGTCGATAAAGCCTCCGGCGTTTTTGACGTTATGCTCTATCCTCCCTACTAAGTCCCTTATCTCATGTGCGACGTATCGGGCCAGGGGGTGTGTTGCTGATCCAACTGCACTCTCTATTGGTCGAAGAGGGATATTCGGTTTGTGAATCTTTCGCAAGCAATACAGTTGAGGTGTTATTGAATCGGTTTGGATCAAACTCCTGTGAAGTAAATTATCTCCTAAACGGCTGCTACTATTAAAAAACATCAAGAAATATTTTTCATTTATTTAACGTTAATATTATTTCTACAAAAAAACACCAGTGGCATATTTTTTTCTTGGGAAACCATACCATACAATAAAAGATCTAATTAAGTGAAAACGCTGTAGTAATTTTCATTTAAATTGTTCAGCGTATTATGAACATATGACAGGAAAATATATATATTTTTTTTTTGGAAACTTGAACACCCTGTACCTCGAATACCACGTCCCCCAGAAAAAAAGTTTATAGAGCAAACTCTACTTATTTTTTAGCAACTAATCTATTACTGCAGTTTCTGTGTTTAAAGTGAAATCTCCCTGTATATTTGTTGATGTTTTGAGTCTATGTACGATTTCTTTTCAAATGGTGTATCATACATAATATTTACAAAAAAAAAATATTTTCAAGATATAAACAGCAAAAATTATTTGATTTTTGATACAATTCAGCGTACCATGCATTTTTTTTCATTTTTTCATCGGCACATCAAACATATCCATGGCACACATAACTGTATCAAGAAATAATTGAATTATGCGAAAATTATTTTTGGCGTTTATTCCTTTGAAAGAAATTTTTTGTGTAAATATTATGTCTAATACATCAGTTGAAAGGGAATACGCATTCAAAAATATAAGTTTGTTATAACGGGTAAAAATCCTCTTTACAAAAATAAAATATGTTCACAAAAAAAAAGTGATAGAGAATCATAAGAAATTACTAAAATTGAAAAACGGCCTGTATCTCTTAAACAAATCAAGATATCGAGATGCGACTTTCATCAATCAACTTTTCTTGAAGATCAAGCACTTGATGCAAGCTGTGAACCACAGTTCCTTGGATGAAAATAATAAAAAAAATTATGCCATTTTTGGTAAAATTGTTTTTTTAAAAGTTTATTTCTTTCATTTTTATGCTCATGTCAAATTTATATTTATAGTTTGGTTTACACCACAATTTCTTTACATATTGACCCAATCGCTTGGGTAAATATCCCAAATTCTCAGCCTACAATCTGTTTTACAAAAATATCCTTGGATAGTACCAATTCAGATGTTTCTGCAGGTCGGTAAATTGTTATTAACAAATTAAATAATGTTGTTTGCACCAAACTATCCTCAAGATAAGACTTACGAGAACCTATTAATAAAAACGAACGTGGTTTGGGCCCATAATATGGAATAGGTGAGCTGGGAACTTCGAGCGAACGATGGACAGTGCAAGATCTGGAAAGTCCGTTTTTACATATATACAAATGCCCATAATTCGCAAGAAGGATCTGATAGGATTTTGAGCTTTGCGAATTTTGAATGTCCAGATGATACAGAAGCTTTCTGCGTTAGCCGTTTTGGCGGACATTTTCATCGAACTTTTTCTCCCTTCCTGATCACCGTGGTAGGTGATCTGTGCATGCGCATCAACGAATTGCGATTTTGTGAAATAATGTGTCGAGACAATTATTTGGAGGATAATATGAATTCTACTTTAAAAAAATATCAGTTGGTTTCAAAAAGTAACTTAAAAATTAAATAAATTCATAATAAGGAAATCTCTAAACAATTGAAAAATTGAATTCGCCAAGTTATCGCAAAGTTTTGAAGTTGTACTATTTAAAAATCAAACCTTTTAAATTTTCTCATCCACATGTTTTCAGTGTTGATTTTGTGACCTCAACAGAGTTTTGAAAATGTTATATATGACTAATAATAGTTTTAAAACATTAATTTGCTGTAATCGTAATAGCAACTTCACTTTCAAGTGAAGGAATAGTTGTATAATTTTGAGTGAAGCTTTCATAAATGTTTACAAGCCACGTAACCGCCTGGCTTAAATAACTAACATTGCAGGGCCGGTACTTGTAAGGAAAAATCCCTAAATCTTAGCGTCACTAATGTTAATGATTCGTTTACAATGAACAATGACAAACCGTTACGTCAATGCTCGAGATAATGCTATCGTTGATTGGTTGAATAAAATCTCGTGAAAAATTACACCAATCACCAGCCAGTGAAACAGAATATTGTATTTTAATGTAAATCATAATCTTATTGCTTTAATTTTACCAAAATTTAATTACCAACTGAAGGAAATTAAATTACTGTTCGAAACCAAATTATTTGTCACGTGGCTTGTAATCATTCTTAAAGGCTGTGTACTACTTATTCAATCTGATAAATTTAAAGAAATTTTGACTACATCAAAACCGACGAAGTATTTTATCGTCTCGTGAAGCATTTATAGTCGTATTCTCTACACGAGTCCTAATTACTGGAATTAGTTAGTTACTGGACTTTAGTATTTGTCACACTGTCCGTGTTAGGATCTTGTGTACGAAAAATCGTCTAGGAATTTTACGCAAGGTCGCCTCGTTCGAACCCAGCGGGAGTCATATACGCCGCGGCGCCTCTCGAGAACCCAGCAATCAATAATCTGATAACGGCGACGTCGGGCGTCGAATTTCCACTCAGGGCGTCGACACACCGCCGCCGGTACAACATCTGCCCACCAGCAACGCGGTTTACAAACAGTCCATGCCAGTTTAGTGTTTTTTGATGTACCCAACCATGAGCGTCAAGGTAAGTGACTTATTTCCGTCTGCTTAACAAATTTCCACGACGAACTAGGGATCTAGTAGGCAGGGGGCAGGGGTAAACTTTTGAAGGCGCGACCGCCACCGCTCCCGGCCGTCTGGATAATTGTCGACTAGTTTGATTAAACAGCGGGCTCGCAGTGCGTTTGTTTGTTTCGCCGCGGATGGGTTGATTGTTTTGTAGAACCGGACGTTGACGTCAATAATAAATATTGTTATTGGAATACCGCTGGTGGCACTTAAAGAATAGGGTCGACGCGTTTTGTTGCGCAGTGTGGCGGGGCAATTGTTTTGAATTTCCTGGAGTGTCCGTGGACGCGTTTTTTCGAGTCTTGCTTCCGGGGCATGTTCCCGTGTAAAATCGGCCGGTTGCTATTTGGTTTTTGCCGTTTGCGTTTCTAATTAGCGGACTATTAGCCGATTCATCGTCTCACCGTACGTATCTAGATATAGTTAACACATATTCTGACGAAAACATTTTTTTACGATTCAAATATTTTCCAGCAAAATAATAATAATAATAATAATTTCTGTTTTACAAAGTCAAAAATATATCGTCTTTCGTAATTTTATGTTAGATTCCAGTGACAGCATGAAGAAAAATACAAAATTTATTCTTTAGAGAGCTTTTAAAACTTATATACAGTGTGTGGCCTATTATAATCCAGGACACCGCTCTATAATTTGCAATCCACTGTTTTTTTTTATATAAATAGTGGCCTTCTGGATGTACCTACTTGCTGAACCAATTACGATGATCCAGTTTACCAGTCCATAGTCCGCTGCGTTTTTTTTTAGATATGATTGTTTGGAATATTACATTAGGGACTTTTTATTAAAAATTTGACAACGTAGCTTTAATCAGCATCACTTAAACCTACTTCTACCTAGTTATAAAGCAGAGTAATTATTTAATACGGACCTAGTGTGCATAAAACTCATTTATTTTCATAATTTTAGGCAGCATCTAATATTTTTATAATTTAGGTCTATAATCAGATTCTATTTATTTATTTATTGATACACTGCGTTCTACAGGTGTAAAACTCCAACTTCAGTACAGGAGGGTAAAGACGGAAAAAAATTACAGAAGAAACATTAAGAGATAAAAAAGCAGCAATGGACAAAAGTACAATAAAACAAAAACGTGGTTAAAAACTATTTTAATATTAATATAAAAAGAAAGCATCAGTAGTATACAAATATATCAGTTAAAATACAGTGATTTTATTTTGGTAGCGCTGGAATTAAAAATATCTAATTGATTGCCAAATAAATTACAATAATTACACATTGTGTAAATAGGTGAATATTTAAATACAGGGCGAGTCAGTTTTTTGTGGAACAGTTGGTAGAGACTCATTTTTTTATAAGAAAAGTTTCTATAAACGTAGGTCTTAGAACGCTTCGTTTGTGAGATATAGGGTGTTGAAAACAAACTTTTTTTAAGAATTTTTCTTAATATCTCTAAAATACCTACATATATTGAACTGAAATTTGGTATTAATAACGCATTAGTTATGGTGAATAAAACAAAGATATCTGTTATCCATTTCACCCACCAGTGACGTGCCTGAGGTGGGTTACTGCCCCCTTTAAAAAAATAATTCGTACGCCCGTGAATTTTTCTGGAAAATAACATTATTTCTAAATTTTTTAATAAATTGTGAACCAAACAGATCTCTTTCAATTTTTTTATAAAATTAACAGTTTTTGGTTAAATTCATTTGGCATGAAACTGTTTCAACGATATTGGTACCTAATACATTTGTGAATTAATAAGAAAAATATGATGTGCACTGAAAATTAACAAAAACGATTGAATGAATAATAACAGTTGGTAGAGAATCATTTTTTAATAAGAAAAGTTCCTATAAACATAGGTCTTATAACGCTTCATTTGTGAGATATAGGGTGTAGAAAACAAACAGTTTTAAGAATTTATCTTATTATCTCTAAAAGACCAACAGATATTAAACTGAAATTTGGCATGAAAAAACAAACACAGAACTTAAAAAAAGAACTAATTGACACACACGTTACACAATGTTTGCGTTCTTATGTCAACGTTATGACATTTTTGTTGATTTTCAGGGTACATCATATTTTTCCTATTACAAATATATTACCAATATCGTTGGAATAGTTTCATGCCAAATGAATTTAACCAAAAACCGTTCATTTTATAAAAAATTGAAAGAGATCTGTTTTGTTCAGAATTGATTAAAAAATTTAGAAATTATGTTATTTTCCAGAAAAATTCACGGGCGTACGAATTATTTTTTTTTTAGGGGTCAGTAATCCACCTCAGGCACGTCACTGGTGGGTGAAATGGATAACAGATATCCTTGTTTTATTCACCATAACTAATGTGTTATTAATACCAAATTTCAGTTCAATATATGTTGGTCCTTTAGAGATATTAAGAAAAATTCTTAAAAAAATTTTGTTTTCAACACCCTATATCTCACAAACGAAGCGTTCTAAGACCTACGTTTATAGGAACTTTTCTTATAAAAAAATGATTCTCTATCAACTGTTAAAATCCTATTACAAAAAACTGACTCACCCTGAATATTTGTAGGTGGCGTAGAAATATAAAAATTGTTTCCCTCTCTTGATTGACACTCGAAACGTAAAAATTACTGTGCTGCTTCTGTATTCTGAACAAAATTATAGTAAGGAAACCAAGCGGGTGCAGTATGTTCAAACTTAAATTTAACAAAAGAAAAATACAAAGTTTTTAGCGTGTTTATTTTTACAAAATCTTTACTTTTTCTGACTATGAACCCATACGACATACTTGTAAGTGTAAAATATTATGTTACACTTCTCAGCATTCATAGGAAGTCGGTTCAATTGTCACCAGTTAGCAATTTGAATCAAATTATTTTGAAGACGTATACAATCGTCGTTGTTCTTAATGGTTGAGAATATTTTCAGGTCAGTATAGAGAAGATACTAATTAATATCTAAGCAATTAGTTATGTTATGTATTAGTTAATTCGAGAGACCAAATTTATTAAGCTTTGACAGTGATATTTCACGATCAAGTCTGTTGAAAGCCTTCGAAAAGTCTGTGTAAATAACATCTGTTCGCAATTGTTCATCAATGGATTCAGCTACAAACTGTGTGACTTATTAGGTTAGAAGTTGTGATCTACTTTTCATCTGAACTGATGAACTAAAATTTTAGTAATAACACTATAGTAACTACCTATTATTGGCCGATGTTAATAATCATCAATGTCAATAGCTACTAAACAAGCATCTTCACACCATTTCCAATGCCTTCTAGATTTTTAAATTGAAATAAAAACTTAAAAAGTTGAAAGTGTATAAAGAAATTATTCTGCGCTATAAGTTGATTGGAGTGACGCTGGTAAAAGCTACGTAGTCTGTATTTCCATAAAAAATCAATAAAGAGACTTTTCCAAAAATGGCGCTTTTAAAAATAATCGCAGCAGGCCATGGATTATCAATTCGATAATCGTAAATGGTTTATCGAGTATATCTAGTAGGCGATTATATTGTATGTACCCCCCTAATCTTTTTTAGCTTTATATCTATAAAAAAATCGTAAGGACCAAAGTTTTAGAGAATTTTCATGCGATATCAAAGAAAGTTAAAAAAACAATTGACTGTTGCGTTTCAAATGTATAAAGCAAACTTTTTTTTTAATGGAATATGCTGTATATTTGTTGCTTATTGCTAGTGAAATTAAATCCTTCTTCTGGTTACCTATAGTGATAGTCGTATATACGTGTCATATATTCGCACTGACAATTTGCTCAATATTTTGTTTTATTAACCGACCCTCCACAATGGAAAAAGATCAAGATTGCCATAAAACCAGTGCATATTCATTTCTCGAAAAGAACTTGAAGATATCTATATTAGTTTTTGAAATTGTTTGAAAAATGTATTTCCATTTCGATTTTTTTTAGGACTGTATGGAAACGTAAACGAAAATATAAATACTTTCTCAATGAAATTTTTGCTTTATGGCATCATATACTTATTATGACGTTTCGTCTTTCTACAACCATCGTCATGTTTTTTTTTTCAATTTTCTTCCCAGTGCTGTTATGTACAATATGTTACTGTTTAGGGACGTTTCCTTTTGGAAAACTAATCATCAGTGTTATTTTCTTCAGAGATGTTGGTACTGCCTTTTTACAATTGTATATTCAACAGCTTTCATAAATTAACTTCTTTTAAGAAAATTCTGTATCACGCTTTGGCATATCTGCGGCTGAATTTCTTTGATAACTCCCCGAATCTCTGCCTTTAATTAAGGAATGGTATTTATTTGAGCAGAATAAACTTTGGACTTTAGGAATCTCCACAGAAAAAAGTCGCATGGCGTAAGATCGCATGACCTTGGTGGCCAACTCACTTCACTGTTCACTGACAAGATGTGTCGTCCATTAAATTTCTGCCGCAACACGTGGTTTCACATGTCTTATCCAAATGAGGCCACAAAAAGTTCAATAGCGTCACTCGATATCATCCTCCATTGACAGTCGCTGCCTCATTTTCAAAAAAGAACGGACCAATCACCCCACCAGCGTAAAATCCACACCACACTTGTCATACTATGTGTACATATACAGTGGCCGTTCTTGAATGACTCGAGCATTGATCGTCTCTACCCCAAATTCGATTTGCTTGTTTACATACCCACGAAGGTGCACTTGTTGATTATCCAACATCCAATCAACGAATGTCCGGCGCATTAAAGCGTCTTCTGGTTTCAATTCCTGGGTTAGCCGAATCTTGAATGGATGCAGATGCAGATCTTTTGTTAAAATCTGCTGCATGCTGCATTGTTTTCTGAAATGTTTAATTGCAATGACCAACGGCGCACTAAGGTTACGGGAATTTTCGGCTGAACGGCCTATTTCTTTATTGTTTGCAACCGGACCTGTTTGTTAAAATTTGGTAACTAACCTTTTTATAGTTGTTTCATTCGAGGCGTTCCTTCTATGAAAAATTCCACGTAATTTGCGGACAGTCTCAGCTACACACTCTGCATAAATTATAAATAAATTTTCACAATCTTCACTCGTGACGTAAAAATATTAATTGGTTTAGTTTAAACAAAAACTAAACTGATGATGGTTGCTGAAAAGCAAAACGTTACAATAAAGATTTAATTCCACATTCAAATAGAGGTGTAAAAAGGTGTTTTTCTATTTTCATAGAACTTTTCAAATAAAACAAAGATAATAAAAACGAAATTTGAAAATATCTCATTTTTCAAATAATATCCACAATAACAAAAAAAGTTATGTTCAAAGGGAGAGGGTCAATTAGGCCGGTTTCCGGCCCCCTTCAAAGAATTTTGTTTTTACTATTTATATCCAACTAATAGTCCAATAATTAAATAAGCCTTTAAATCGAAATTTTGGTCAACTTGCCTGAATTTTTTA